AGAATATTCTTAACAAATAAAATCAAAGATCTCAGTGGAAATTACTCTTTGGGTGCAGAAGTATTGATGTTATATCTAATGTAGCTAATGGAAGCCAACCTGAGAAAAAACGGGATAAGAAGAAGAACAAGAAGACGAAGGTTGCAAAGGATGGAGCCAGTAGTGTGATTGACCAGGATAAATGTGTTGATCAATGCAAAAATATCAGTAATGACGATGTTGTTGAACAGATCAAGCAAATTATTGAAGCAGTCGAAATGGACACGTCTTTACTGCCAACAACTAAACAACATGAAAGTCCGACTACTCGGTCAGTTTTTCCTATATTAATTTTTTCGAAACAATCTGGTTGCAAGCTCTAAAGCATAACTACATTGTTTGTAGTGTTTACTTGCAATGGGTTGATTTTATGTATTTGACTCTCGATACTTTTTAGAGTGAATCTACTTTGATTTGTAAGTATGTACGATAAAGGAAGATAATCATATGTTTCTTAATAGATTATAATGCTTTTTGGATGCAGTATAAACGATGTAACTTCTGATGTAGCTGATGGATTCCGATCTGTGAAGAAACATAGTAACAAGAAGGCCAAAGTTGGAGATGATGGAATGAGTAGTGTGCCTGAGGCTGATAGTACAATGAATGGAGTTCTCCCTCCATCCCCCAATGTACGATACATTTGGATTTGACACAAGTTTTAAGAAAAATAAGAGATACTCGTTTGCCATTTTAAACTTTTAAAAGAAAAGTAAATGGATCCTTTGGAAGTATGAAGGTGGAAGGATATACAAGGATAAAATGGTAATGTGAAAATTTAGTGTAGAAAATTACATAAGGAAAATGAACATAGTTTTGGGACTGATTGAGAAGAAAAGTTTATTTTGACAAAATGGGATTGATGGTGTAATTGTTAAATTTCAGGACAAGGGCACGGATCCAGAGTCAGGTCAATCTAGGAGCTTTTCAAATGGATTGATAGTTGAAGACCTTGCAAAGGGTAATCCTGATGGAAGAGTTGCTACTACAGGAAGAAAGGTAATTCTTTTTTTAGGAGATCTATCTTTAAGTGTTGCATAACAATGAACTATGCATTTGGCACGCTTCATGTGACATTGAACTCAATGTCATAGGATGACCCGAGCCTCCTACGGTGCTCCGTTTAAAAATTGATGGTTCCTACCCCTTCTAAATCCCTTGCCCCCCTCCCCTTTGCCGATTGGCTCCAGTGAGGCGAAGGGGGTGCATGCGGTAGGAACCATCAGTTTTTCGAATGGAGCACCAAAGGAGGCTCGGGTCATGCTATGACATTGTAGAGCAATGCCACATGAACTGGCCCACTATGCATTCGCCTGCTTTTAGTATTGGAAATTTTGTGAATAAATCTTGTGCAGGTGAAAGTTCACTTTACTGGCATGCTATGGGAGAATGGGCACACTTTTACCCCTTCAGGAGCTACTTTCAGATTTTGCCTTGGTAATTGTTATGCTCAAGCTTAAATGACATTTATATCAAAACACTTTTTTTTCTTGTTGCTCACAGTTCTAATCTTTTGAAGGTGATAAAGGTGTACTTCCTGGATGGAACATTGGTATTGAAGGTGAACACATACGAATCTCTGGATTTCTTGGACAACTGTTTGCCCATAACAATGTACTCATCTTACCCTTTTGGTCACTATGATAACAGGTATGCGTGTTGGCGACAAAAGGAGGCTTACCATACCTCCACTATTGGGGTATGCATCATCTTTCCTGTCCTAAACTATAGCAAAACAAAAGTTTTGGTCCAAAATCTTTGTTGTATATATGCTTTATGCCACTCTTCTATTGTCTTGAGTTTTTATACTTGTACGTTTGAGTGCGAAAAGAGCAACCCAGAAGTAAAAAAAATTCTTCCAATTACATTGCAGTTATGGAAGTGAAGGATTTGGGGAGCAAATACCGCCGAACTCGTGGTTGGTCTATGACATTGAGTTGGTATCTGTCCATCGCTGATTTTTGAACTTTAAACGCTTCGGATGTTGCATACAAGTTTGCTTTTTGGTACATGGAAATATCCCTCCAATGCGGACAATTGCAAGGTTTTTTTTTGGAAAGTTTTGTTTCGAGTTCTCTCCCTATAATCAAGGGAAAACATATTTATCTATGTAAATGAAGTTTTACGCATTTGAATTGAAAAAGTGTGTTGTATAATCATTCCTGAAGCAAACTATATGCAGAAGCAATCAAAGTTGCAAAAACTTGTAGTATTATGCTCTATTGAAGCTTGCAAGTCAATTGTTTTTTCAGATGAGAGATCTTGTTTTTGTTACTCTATTAATGAGTGGCAGTCGAAGTTAATTTACTTGGCAAAGAGTTTTAGGTTCTTGCCGTCTCATATCTTTCTCTCATTTTCCTTTTGGAGTCGTCCCATGTGTTTCTCTGTTTCTTAAAATGGAAATAAAATGCTTCTAAACTGCTTATAAGCAGTTTTTAACCTACTTGTTCTTTTGCCTTATAAGCAGTTTATAAGTACACATAAATATGTCATCAACTGAATTATAGGTTAAAAATGGCTTATAAGCAGTTTTTAACCTATAATTCAGCTGATGACATATTTATGTGTACTTATAAACTGCTTAAAAGGCAAAAAAATAAGTAGATCTTAACTGCTTACTTTCAAATCAATTTTTACTTTCTCTTTTTTGACAAGATTATTTATAAAATTATCCCTAATTTGACTTATAAGCAACTTATACGTCAAAAATGTTTATCAGTAATAAGTCAACAAACATCAACACAGAAAAGCACCTACAAAATAAAAGTCATATTAGGGTATGTCATGATATTGCACCGGCACTTTTCCCAGTGCCAAACTGACACTTTGTGCCATTGTATGTCATGATGTACAAATTAGGGCACCCCTAGCTTTTTTCATAAAATAAATTTGAAAGCTTCCATTCCCATTGGTGTTAGATCCATGGCCATTTGATGAAGTTACTTCCTAAATCATCATACAAAGTAGCAAAGGAAAATTTGGCGTGTCAATTTGATTTTACCCATTATTTACACGAGGCACAAAAGACCAGTCTCAAATCTCACACAATGTTTTGAGTGAATAAAAACTCAGCATCTGTTGTCACAAATTATAACTGTACACAAAACTTGACAACTTCTAACACCAACTCTTCTTAGCCAATAACATTTCAACAGAAACACCAACATATCACTCTAGCTTTACTCTGTTTTCTTCTAGATGTTGCTTCTTCGGCTCGGCCGGGAAGTATTTGATACCAACCAAATCGCCGACTCTGCTGATAACCTATGGCGATGAGAGATTTTTCAAATTTGTCAACGAAGAATTAGAAGGAAAAAAAATTGTGCAAAATTGTTATGATGAGAATGGGATAATCAAACCTCCAATGCTTTGAGAAGATCTTCCCTCGTGTGAGAAGCAGAAATGCATATCCGCGCTCTGGCTAATAGTAGAGGAGTTGCTGGAAAAGCAACCGTTACTACAGCCACCTATTAAATAACATCATGCACGGGATGGAACATTTAATTTGATAAGCATACAAATGTTGTTTGTGGTATGTGTGAGAGGATATGGGAGAAGAGAAATAAAGATGTACAAATAGTGTGAGAAATGCGAGAAGCCGAGAAGAGAAATAAACCATGTCTATGTGTGAAAAAAGGTGTACAAATAGTGCAAATGTAAATAAAAGATGCTATTTAAAAATATGGAAGAAACCAGTTCAGGAGTAGATCAAGTGACCCCCCCACACACACACTTTTCCCAACTAACAGTTAACCTTTGAAAGTTTGATCATGAAAATCCTGCATTGTGCAGCTTTGGAAGAAGATATACTCATGTATGTATTGAGATAATAGCAGTTAGTTTTACGAGAGAAAAAAAGGGAGGAAGAAACATTACATTCTGCTTTAGACACTCTCGTGAGAATGCAGGGATTTTGGAAGGATTATAGAGCATTATAGGCATTACAGGGGAGTCATTATCCCCCAAGACCTCGAAGCCCATTTTTTGTAGTTCCGAGCGAAAAAAATTGCTGTTCTCGCGTATGCGTGTTAGTTTTTCAGCTCCTGCATTCACAGGACTATTACATCAATGGAGTGATAAATCATTACAGTAAAAATTAAACAGCAGTCTAGTAACTGCATTCCACGTGTAGTAACACCACACTAAGCATCTGGCCTTGAGGGATTGAAAATATTCTTACCTCGACTAGAGCCATCTTCTCCAAGAATAACTTTTATGGAAGAAATTATTTGTTGGGCAGCAGGAGGTGACACGGATGTTGCATATAGATGGGCAGGGCATGTGTACTTCAAATATTGAATCAGTTCCTGAAAGTGATTTTCAGACTTCCTAATATTCCCTTACATACAAAATAGCTAAAAGCTCTTGAACAATGCAGAAGCAATAAAAAGAACATAACAATTTTTGCACAACACGGCCAGAATTATATATTAAAATCGGACCTTGACCGTCACTTCTAGTGGTAGTTTAACATTTAAACATGATCCACAAGGTAAAGTTAGAGCATTATAAGTTGCACCGAGACAGAAACGATGCTCAAAATATGACAGCGACAGGAATAAGAAAACACCAAAATTTCAAAGTTTACAAAGTATTTGGCTATAAGGGCATCACCAAAGAATCTGTAGAGCATATGGAGCATATATAATAAGATGGATGGAAATTGCCATCATTGCTCATGTGCCTTTGAGATAGATGTTTAAGGGTCTTCTGTTAGCCGATTTGCAATAGGAGATTGGATGGTAGCGTGAGGTGGTCTTTATTTAATTCAGGGTAGGTTTTTAATAGAACTTAATTATTCACTGACATTAACTTAATTGGTACTCCCACTGTCCCAGAATAGTTGTCGTTTTAGAAATTAGAAGTGCAGAATATTAAGAATTTAAGAACCTGACTAAAAGACACTTCTGTTGAGTATTATTTAAGTTATTACTAGAACTTTACTTCTTTTTAATGCACAAAGTATTTAATGCCGGGAGAATTAACACAGAAACTTTGGAATATTAAAAAAAATGATTTAAATTCATATAATGATAATTTATTGTAGGGAAAAAAGTTGCAAAACAACATATAATTTGGGAGGGGGACAGTAAATAGCTTGAGTCAATTCTCATTATCTAAACAAGACAGACGTGCGTTTGTGTGTTGTGCTTGGGGTGGGAGGGGGGGTGGGTATATACAAGTAATATATAACCCTCAAGACAAATCAAGAGCATTACTTTGCAGCAAACATACTACACTAATCAGAAAAGCAATTATTTGTGAACTTCCAGTGTCAATGAATGATAAGGATAAAACATAGGAACAAACCCTGGATCCTGCTATATAACCGCCACATGATCCAAATGATTTTGTGAATGTTCCCATCATGATATCCACATCTGCAGTGTCAACCCCTAACAGCTCACAAACACCCCTACCAGTTTTTCCAACTGCTCCAATGCTGTGAGCCTCATCCAAATAAACATATGCCTGAAACAAGAGCACGATTGTATATAAACTCATTACCATCATCGCCTTAATCCCAATTCCCAAGCATTTTGGGGTCCATGTCATGAAATTTAATACGGAGTAATTTATAGCGTCAATTCCAAAAAAAACTAAAATAAGTCTTTTCCACACAATGCAAGGTTGGTGTCATAAAATTTTAGGGACTCAATAAAATGGTCTAAAATTAGTTGACAAATTTAGGTGAGATGCCATTCTAGTCACAACAGTCTTATAAAGGAATACAGAAATTACATTCAAAAATCACTTTCATCCTATGTTTTTCCGACTTGTGTGGAAAATATCATAACATGGAAATGGGTTGAAATATTTTCTATAGACATGTCCCATTTTAAGGCTGATTCGGTAAAATAAACAGGCATGTCAAGGAGCCTGAGCATGCAATTAAACAAAAAAATATGCAGCTAAATATCCCAGAGTTTTACTAGAAACGTATGTAAACAGGGGCCTAGATGGGATCCATGGGGAAATATGTTAACCCATGTACTCAACACAATTCTATGGGGAGGGACTGAGGGAGGGAGAAAATTTCTCATTTTCTTTCTCACAGACTTGTTCCAGGGAGCAGAATGGATAGGGTTCTAGATTTGTTACCTCTATTTCAAATATTAATAAAGAATATGGCCTCTACTAGCTGCTTGTCATACAAAATACCATCTAAGGATACAGTACCTTGTACTTCTTGCATATGGAAACAATTTCCGGAAGTTTGCAAAGTTCGCCTTCCATGCTGTATATGCCCTCCACTACAACAATGATTTTTTTCCAAGGCCTGTGTGTTCTGGGTATCCCTTCAGCAATTTGTTCTCTCAAAACCTTCTCCAAATGGGAAGGTGCTACAAGTGCCACAGTTATACAGATTAGATTATATGGATAATCTATTATATAAGCATATATAACAGGAAATATAGATACCATTTTACACTCAAGGTATTACTACTGGGGATCCTCTCACTTCCACATCTATTTTATTCCACTACAATTGTTTTCTGGGGAATAAATATGGTGAGACAAGCATCTCAACTATTTCATTTATCCCCCCAAAACAAAAATAGCAGTAGTGGAAGGAAATAGAGAAAGAGAGAAATGGTTGGAATGTGAACTTGGATCTTTTTTCAGAAAAAGAAAATGCATCCTTAGAAAACTCACTGTTATGCTGGAATACACGAATAGTTGCTCCAGAGCCTCGAGCTCCATTAACAATTGAATTGTGGTTTAGAGAATCACTAATTATCAAGCCTCCCTGGAAATGATTATAAACTGAGTGCTAATGATAAATATAATTAAGAAGGCAGGTGATAATGATAGTGCTTGTTGAGGATACCTTTCCAACTAAGGCAGGAAGAATAGCTGAATTTGTCACATAGCCCATGCCAAAAACCAATGCAGCTGGTTTGCCAACAAAATTAGCCACACACTCCTCCAATTCAGTGTGTAATGACAGGGTGCCTGCCAACATAATTTGCATAGAATGAATAATGTAACAGTAGTCCTTTTATTTTAAAAAAAAAGTGTCAAGAATTTAGTTCTGAAGCCTACCTCCATCAACACGGCTACTACAAGTGCTGGGTGAGAATCTTTTCAAAGAGTCAATTACACGAGGAGTGCAATATTCATCAGATGCAGCAAAACCAAGATAATTATATGAGCCCAAGTTAAGGCACTTGGTAACTTTTGTGGTACACCTACACAAATTTGTTGAATGGATTTTCATGAAAAAGAAATCTGAGATCCAAAAG